AATTTCGCCTCAAACGTAAAAAAAGGGATGTCTGTGTCGGACTTTGACATCCCTTTTCTTTAATGTTTTCGTTGCAAACTTTTAAAGGCGTTCGTCTCGAACTTTTAAAGGCATTCGAATTTTTAAGGTTTTCGTTCCGAACCTTTAAAAAACGTATGTTTCGAACTTTTAAAGGTGCTCGTCTTGAACTTTTAAAGGTGCTCGTGGCAGGCTTTAAAAGGTCCCCACTGCCGACTTTTAAAAATTTCTACCACGAACTTTTATGGATCTTCACCACGAATTTTTAAGAGTCTTCATTGCGTGCTTTTAAAGGTCTTCATCGCGAACTTTTATGGTTTGTCGCCGCAAATTTTAAAGATCTTTGTCTCGAACTTATAAACGACTTCGTTGTTTGACGAAGTTACTTCCAAAAAGAAAAAAGAGACAACAGAGTAAAACAAAGAAGAAAGCACAAGAAAAGAAGAAGAAATTACCTTTGCGTCAATGCTTCCCTGTCCACAGAACTAGACTCAATATGGCTTGCAAATACTACAAATTAATGCTCAACAAATATGAAAACGGGTTTTATATAGATTGTGGAGAGGAGGCGTTAATAATATGTGATTCGATGTGGGATCAACTGTGCGGTGATTTAACTCTTCTGTTCCCAAGTTGAGTAGGAGACGTAAATCGATTCCTGAATGAATTCTAAATACTAGTTGGAGACGGCATAAATTTGTCCGAGTTGAAGTGGTACAGATCTGTGACTATTCATAAGGAATTATCTAACTAGATGTGATCAAGTGCTATCAAAGTTCCATGTTTACTTAAGTAATATATATGTTAGCCACATGAAATTGGCACGATTCACGATAAAATTTCAATTACAAAGTACGGATTCCATAAAGAATATGACGTAAACTTCAAAGTTATAAATGGGGTCATTTGTTCTTTTAAAAATAAGTTTGTTCATGAAGTAAAATGACACTTCAGAAACAAGGTTCAACGAACTACATGACCATGAGTCTGTAATCTCCAAAATAGTTCGATTTTTCAAGGATTAATGTCTCTTACACTATCATTTGGAGGAAGTATGTTAAAATAAATTCATACTTCAAGCTTGGTCTTCAAAAAATTTAGAAATTTGACTAGTCTTGAAGTAGGGAGTATTTGTAGGCATACAAAATTTATTGGATATCAATAAAATAATTTAGACTATATATTAATTATGTAAGTCCAACTAAGTATTATGGACTAATATAATCAAATTAATTATATAAGTCCAAATACATATGGATTAAATAAGTAAGTCATAATCCATTGGGCTAACCCATTTAGTTGGGCTACAGATGCTGAGCCCACTTCGTTAAGCCCAAGATGCCATCTTTCTAGAGGCCTAGTTTGGTGCCACATGTCAAATGGCGTGGCATGCCAAGTCAAAAGGAAGAGCCAATATGATCATGCCATGTGTCAAAATGACAAAGCATGCGAAGTCAAATTGAAAGGCCAATGAAAATGTGTCGCATTTGCAAATGACATGTTCCGGCCAATCAAATACGGCCTTGTCACTCTTCAATCTGATTGGTCGAAAAGAGTTTGTTCTCATCACAACTCTTCCCTCCCACAACTATAAATAGGGGTCTTCATAACTCAGAGAAGATACAAGAAGTTATAACAAGAAGCAAGAGAGAGCTCGTGAATTAAACGCTGTAGATTTCTCGAAAAGCTACAAGCATTCAAGTGTTCTAAGGATTAAAAGATCAAGACGAAGATTCAAGAACAAGCTGCAAGCCCTTGGATTAAAAATATGTCAAGATCAAGATCAGACCTCAAGCACTTGGATTAAAGTAAAATAAAATTCAAGACTAAGCTCAAAGGCTCTTTTCTCAACCTGGTTTGGATCGTTTGACTATGGCTCCGCATTCTTTACAATCATAAGCTAGATCACGAGGGTCCAAATCAGGGTCTCCATCTCGCCTTATTTATTAACTAAGAACGGAAAAATAAAAATTTGCATAAGTTATAGGTATAGCTCAGGAGATGAGATTGGATCCGCATCATCTGGAACTAAAGAAGCTTCGGGGTCTTGATCCGTTCTATATTTACTGTTGGAAAGAAGAATCAGAGGATTCATAGAGATTGTACACTCATATTATTTGAAATAAAATACTACTATGTTGCAATATCTTCCAGTCTTGATTTTATTTTCTCGACGCAATTTATTATCTATATATATATAAGAATATTATAGAGGTATTTCAAAAAGAAAAAAACATCGTTTTAGTGTTGGATGTTATTGGTATAAGTAAAATATTGTTATAGAGAGGTAAAGTATAATATTAAAAGAAACAGTTGCAAAGAAAATTTTCATGTTACAATGAAACATTTGCTGACCCAAAGCTAAATATCTTATCTGCTAATGCTCCAAATAGAATAAAGTCCATGATGGACCGAGTCTATGGCAAGCTGAAGCGTACTAGACCAATCGGTCCCAAAGATAAAACTCCTTGAAGAAGGAGAGGAGCAAATGATTAAGATGGTCATAATAAGGAGGCAAATGCTCAATAAGAGCACCATGACATAACACTTTATAAGACCTCATGGAAGAGGCTCATGTAGCTAAAAATAATGAGATAAATCTCGATAAGTTATGTCTTTATTGATTAATGCTGGAACCGATGTAAGAATGATCATCGATGATTAACATAGCGCTCAATATTATATGACGAGGATCTTGCGCTCAAATCTGTCATAGAATGTGGACAGTTAAATGATTGCTCAAATGAAAAATATGCAATAAAGGTTGACTTTACCTGAAACACATGAAGTTGGACAAATAGTCCTAACACCTGAAAGTATAAAGCCAGTGGAAGTACACATGTATTGTTGTGCGAAAAGTTAAATGAAAAATCAAATCGATAGACATAAAGACGACTTGTGGTACAAGATTTTTTTGTAAATATCCTAACATTGATTATATGGAGACATGTTCTCCTGAGGTGGATGCTGCCACTTCATGTTTTGGTCTGACAATATGTTTGATATGCGTATAAAGCTTTAGTAAATCCTGAAGCATATAAAGGTTCTCGATAAATTTATTAACTAAAGCTTCAGTAAATCCTTATATGGCTTAGAGCAATCATGGTATATATAATTTGTTTTTGTGTCTTAGTGCAATTGGTGCATTTATGTAACTTGTATAACCATGAGTATAAAATATATGCTAGTGAGACATAGTTTTGCTTATATGTGGAGATATTGAAATGTGATTAATAATACAAAAGAAATCCTTGATATCGATTTGTTTATCCTAACAAATATTATCAAGGTTTTGTTAATTATGCAAAGACATGCATTTCCTGAGTTCATTCTTCAAATAATTTATTTTCATATGAAGGAGACGTGTGACTTTTCTTTGAAAAGAAAATGTTGCTTGCTTATCTCAATGGAAAGACAACGCTGCGTGCTTATCTAGATTGAACAAGGATATGCTGAAGGAGATAAAATAAAGCACATTTCACCAAAGTTCTTTATCAGACACGATCTTCAACAAAATAGTGAAATGGATATTCAACAAATTCATTCAAGTGATAATTAGGCGGAGTTCACTAAGAAATTGTTCTCTCAACATTTCAGAAGTTATTGTACAAGTTTGGAATTCATCGTCTCCCAGATACCAGTGATGTTTCCAGTGATGTTTTTATCAGGGGGAGTAAAATATGAATTGTACTCTTAGTTTTTTCTTTAGCCAAGGATTTGTCCCACTAGATTTTTCTGGCAAGATTTTAACAAGGCGACAATCTATACTTATTACAAAATATGTGCACTCTTTTTCCTTCACGAAGATTTTTTCCCACAATTTTTTTTTCTTTTAAGATTTTACGAGTCACGTTATCCTTGGATATCGAAAGGGGAGTGTTATAAAGTACCGTATTATGATGATGTCAATAACCTCTAAAGGACTAACACCCACTCTTCTCCATTATCTCCATAACGCCCACAACTCCAATACTTTGGGTTGTAACTCCCATACCTCTATAACCACCCCCATGATCTTCTTCCATGATCTCAAATGTTTAATAGCATGTTTATGACATTCTTTTGTATACATAATACTATAAATTGAGGATGAGAAGTGATATTGTATCTACTTGAAAAACAATTGATGAAATAAGAAAGTTATTCTTTTCTCTCTACATCTCTTTTCTATATTCTTGCTTTAGATTGTTAGGTTGAACTTAACAGCATTTAATTATGGTACTTGGAGGTAACAAGGCATTTAATTATGGTAGGTAACAAAATTAGAAGTTCACGGCTTGAGAAGGAAGAATATTCAATTATGTGGAGAATTCACAGAAAAGTAAATTATAGCTACATTATAACAAAATCTAAGTGACTGAGGTTGTTGAGATATGAGTTTTATACTTCGTGTAGAAAGCACGAGCGCAAATCAACCAACATGAAATCCAAGATAATGAATTCAGAAAGCTAGGAGAAGAAAAATAATTGGTGCCTTAGAAAGATTTAATAAAAAATGATTAATGAACTTCAAAATTTAATTTAAGAGTTTAACATATATACCAAAAAAAATTTATGTTGTCAAATCACCTAAAAATTGTCAACTACGTATAGATCGTCATATGATATGTGAAATTAATTATTACTGTATAATTCATGTTATAAACTGTGACATGATTCTGTTATATACTGACAGATGATTAAAATGCACTATGGCATAAATGTTTAAAACATTGTCGATGTGTATAAAGTATAAACGACGATTAAAAATGCACTGATAACATAAGTTTTTTAGCATTGTTACTATTTTAAGCTAAATCTATAAATAAAGCATAATTTCGAGGAATTAATAACATGTTGACATGCAAAAAATTTTATGTTACCTTATAAGCAATTTAATCAACTAAATGTGACATGTTACTTACTTATGGTGGTATTACACTGTTCTTCAGAGGAATCACCATATTAATTCTGTTATTAGAGGAGTTATCAAAGTCAGTGAATTAATCAAGCTTAACCTGATTTAGTGATATTCATTCACTTAACGTGTATATAAAGTATAAACTGACATGCACAAAAGCTCAAAACTTACGGTAAATTAAACCTGTACGACAGGAAAGGAAGAGAATTCGATCTGGGAAAACACATTGTTTTATACAAAGACCCAGACTAAATTAAAGACCTTAGGACACATTTCAGGGTTTGTTCAGATTGGCAGCTGCGGCCATGGATGCAGCTACGCCTCCAGGGTGTGTAGCCAAATCAGGCTTATTCCTTATCTCAGCTCCCACCACGCCTAACGCGTCTTCCTTCGTCACTGGCTTGTCGTCCACAAGTTTGCTTGTTGCATCCTAAAGATCAAGAAAAATGTACTCCCTTCGTTTCAGTTTACGGTTTTATGCTTTAACTAGACGAAAGTAAGGATACGACAACATTTCTAGTGACATTTAAAATAAATGACGGAAAATAAATAAATTTGAATAATATCTTGTTCATTCGCCAAAATATTTTCTTTAAGCGTCCGTACAGAAAACATCTTTTTTGGGGGGAGAGATACAATTCACCAATCGAGTCACAGGTATCTACTAACGATTTTCCACAAATTAAAGTCTTTAAAGCTAAATTGAATTAAATTAACTTAATATTTTAAAGTTCAAATTTAGATATTCAAAATGTTTGTCAAATTTGAATAGGTTGAATCTCACAAAGCAAAAAAGTAGGTTTATGGAACTAGAAGAGAGGGACTAGGGAGTAAAAAGGAAACTTAGGAGCATAAAAAAAATAAATCAATACTTAAGTTATATACACTGATCAGTAGTATAGAATTTTATTGTACATATAATATCAAGTTACTCCTACAACTATGTTTTAGGTCTAACATATACTCATGACTATGATTAGTTTTCTAATCTATTTAATCTAGGAATTTTTACCACCTATAGCAAAGGTTAACACCTTATTTATTTTAAATAAATACCATTTAAAAAAATTATATTCTATAGATACCTTTTAAGGTTTATAGCAAAATATTTAATTTTGGTTACCTCCTAGCCCTAAGCCACTAAATACGCTAATCAGTTACACTATTTTCATTCTCTCTCTACTTTGATACATCCCATTCTCTTCCCCCATCCCATTAAAATTTTCGATCTCCTCCTCCTCCTTCCACCGATTTTCTTTCTATCCCTTCCCACTTTCCCCTCCCTTTACACCAGCAGTGTTACCATACACAACAGATTTAATGGGAGGAACCATTCCAACAATAAAAGCCAACAGTGTAGCAAATGTTGGAGGCTGGAGAACATGGCGAACTGGAGTTTGTTCGGCGACAATTCTTATTCTCCTAACCATCCGGGGCTCCGCTAAACATCTAATAGATTTTGGACTCCTCGGAGCTGGCGTGAGGTCAAGTCCAACGAGGAGATGGCGGCAGTCGTGGAAAGAGGATTCGGTTTCGGAGATCCACTGAGTGACGATTTCTTTCTTTCGAGATGAAGAAGAACATTTCTTTTAATATATTTCAATGTAATTTCAACGTATTACGCTGTATTTTTATGATTTTCATTGTATTCATTGTCTCTTTTTTTCCATTGTAATTCAATGTATCTCGCTGTATTCCATGTATTTTATTGTATTTTCTGTCTTTTTTTCATTGTATTTCAATATATCCCGTTGTATTCTATGTATTTCATCGTATTCACTGTCTCGCTATATGCCATGAATGTATTCACAAGTTTTTTTTAATTAATATAATTTATGTATTCAGATGTATTATATAATTCTCTGAAAATTACTATGTTTTTGGGGTATTTTTTGGTTGAGAATCCTTTTTATAACTGAAAATACAAATTTTGTGTGTTATAATTGAGTTTGTTGAGTTATATTAGGAGTCTATTATGTTAGTTGATTCACTTTCCGTTTTAAAAACAGTGTAATCCCCTATTTCACGCCGTGAATACAGTCAAATACAATAATCTGTCCAGCTGTAATCCCATGTTTCACTCCATGAATACAGTCGAATACACTCGAATACAACAAACTGATTAGCTGGACTTCCCTGATTCACGCCTATTTTTGCTACCGTATTCATGAATACGGTAGCTTAAATACATCAAATACATCTTATAACCACATAAAAAGTATCTATAATCCGTAATATAGCAAATGGTATCTATAGATGACTAATTACTACCAAAAGATAGTGCTTTATGAAAATTTCTCTTTAATCTAATGCCAAAAAATTTAAATGTTGGAACACAAACCGACTCCTCTGATAATTAACACTGATTGAATGAAAGTAGATTAACACTGATTCAATGAAAGTAGTTAAGATGTTACATGCTGGTCATTTGCCTATTATATCTAATGCAGGTCATTGATGGCTCGACCGGAGAATCCAGTCATTTCAGGGTCTAGAACCCGGTGGCAAACCTTCTAGCTAAAGAGGGAGCAGAGAAACTTTCTGACAAGACATGAATTTTTATAGTTCATCTGGTATTTGCTAATGATGCAATATATGCATACATCTTAGGAACTACATTGGTAGAAAAACTACTTTAACCAACAATGTTGGCCACCTGGACAGCCCTACAAACATGGTTGGATTGTAACTATTTTAGTATTTTAGTATTAAGTATCTGCTTTTACCAAAAAAAAAAAAATATTGTCTGTACACAAAAATTAAAAACTCAAGAAGAAATACGTCTCATAAAAAGTACTCCTGTAGTCTATCCAATGTTTTATATATTGACAACTCAAAAATTTTCTACACACACATTATCAAACATAGTAACTATTCCTCTGCTTATAAGACAGCAGTGTATATAACTTTAATTTAAAAAAAGAATGATGTCTGATGAGGGAGACTTACTGTAAGAACATCACTGAGCTTGGTCTTCTGCTCGTCTCGCGTGGTTCGGATATTGACAGCGGCTGCACGTTGAGCTTCTGCTCCTACGCCTCCTGGCACCACATGGCCTAGTCCCGTGGCTCTCACTTCCGCTGCCTGTATCGCTGCCGCGTCGCTCTCGTCCACTGGTTTGTCCCCTGCAGAAAGAGCCGCCAACTCCAACGCCTCGCCTATGGTCACGACATCAGCATCAAGTGATAGTGTAGCTTCCACTGTACTCCCCCCACCCCCTCCCTCTCCCCCTCCCCCTCCCCCTGTTGATGGATGAGTATATTGTGCGAGAACCTAAAAATTCACAGTGAGTAATCGAAGAAATTCTTTGGTACATACGAACTACAGAAAAGATGGAAAAATACATATTTTTCAAGTTCTTAAACTACTCAAGTAACAATCATTTTAAAATGGGGTTAAGTTTTATGTATAGTAAATCTACAAAATGTTTAGAACATCAGTTAAACATTAGTGTAGTAATATACCAGATTATTTACTCTGCTCTCTGGTAGGTTATCACCATGGGCGGACCATATACAGAATTGTGGTGCTCAAGCACCCATTGCCCATGGTATCGAACATATAATTTTATAGACAATTTCGCATGAAATGGATATGTATTTAGGTGAGCACCCATTACTCAAACAGACTAGTGAGTGCTACTGGTTATTAATGAAATCTAAGTATGCGCGCTGCGTGATCCGGAGTTCTACGTAGTGCACTCTTTGACTTTCTTTTTCGTCTCCCTTTTACATGGCTTTCCTTTGTTCTTAACTTTGTCATTTTTTCTTTCTTCAATTCATTTAGTTCATCGTGGCACAAAAAGAAAATATATTCAATTTACCACCACCATATTTGGCGGTCTATATTATCGTTTGGAATCCTAACAATAATGATAATATTCAAGAAAATATGGATATTCATATTTTTCGTCATTCAATTTATGTTTTATCCGCATTAAATATGAATTGTTCGGAAATTTTATTCGTGTTATCTAGAACGTATGTATTCAATCCGTCCATATCAATCTGAATCCTCCCATCATTTGGGAGCACTAATTAATAGTAAGCACCCATTCAAGGTAATGCTGGATCCGTCACTGGTTATCACCTTATGTTTCTAATTAATAAACAGCCCGGAACTAGCTTGAAGAAATTTAAAGGTGGTTTCAATTAAATCTCCTTTGCAAAAAAAAATATACTGTACAAAATGAGTAAAAACTAAAAAAAATTTAGGTTATATATTAGCCCTTTACATGAAGAAAAAATTCTAGTAAAATGACAATGTTAAAAATTGCTTCCCAGACGTAACATTTGGTAATCTCCTTTGTATAAAACCCTGAGCCACCATATCATTACCTGTTAGTATTGTAGGTAATTACCTTCAATATGTGGTTTAATGATATTATAAACTGACACAATTAACTTTTATAACCTGACGGTGCGAAAATATTATATACACTATATATCAACAAATAAAATAAAACTCTTTAATAAATTGTATCTTTAGAGATAAGAACTTATCATACTTTGGTGCAGTTTCAACTTTAAGCAAATTTTACCTCTCCACCAACGGCCTCTGTAACAACTGGAGTCCCCTCAATCTCCGTTTGAGAAACGGTGACACCCTTATCTCTGGCTATATCTGTCATGTCATCACGGCCAACGCCACCAAATCGCTGATTCAAAACGGCAGCTGACTGCATAATTGAAGCAGGACCACCTTTTGGAATGTGACCAAGTTCCTTGTTCTCAGCTGATTGCATCGAAGCTGCATCTTTAGGCGCTATGGGTTTTGACGCAATTTTTTCTGAGACTTCAAATACGTCCCCATATTTGATAGATTCTATACCTGCAGTCTGATCAGGTCTTCTTTCTTGTTCTTGACTCATTTTTGCTTTTTGTTTTTTCCGAGAAGTCAAGCTTTTTTAATTCACTGCTTTTGTTTTAAGAGTTTGAATTTGAACAGCTTTAAATTGGTTATATATGGGAAAGGAAATTAGGAAACGCACAGAAGGTGCATGAATTAAGGTGATGAAGCGGTGCATAGTTAGCTAGATAGTTAGCTAGATGGAGTGAAGGTTTAATTGGGTATAGTACACGTGTTGAATAAAATGGTGAAACACTTCATTCTTCATGTTACAGATGCTGTTGTTATAAGCAAGACACTGCATATTTGTTCTCATTTCAAATAAAAATAAAAGCTGTCTATCTGTTTTGTATACGATCAAAATCGAGGAATATGATTTTGAAGGCTTAAATCGTCTATAGGCCTGAGTTCGAGAGACTCGAAGTGAGCGTCGTATCCGGCTAAGGAACACCTACTTCGGGGAAGTTGATTGAGTGTCTGGCACGGACCGCATCGAGGGCAGCATTGTCTCGAGGTCAATCAAGAAAGAGCGGGAATTTTTCAAGGACACGTGGACCTGGACATTAAATATAGGATAAGGGTTGTACAAAATGGTACAAATCCGTACTAGACCGTTATACACCTGTACCAATAGAATCCTTTACTTTTTATAAGGAATGTACTATATTAGGAGTTCTCCTATATAAAGGGGATCCCAATCATATTGTAAGGCATCAGATCATTCACTGCAATAAAACATTCTTATTCTTCTTGTTTAACGTGCTCTTCAATTATTCTTTAGCTTTATTGCCTTTACTTTATTGTTCATACTTTATTATTCTTATCTGACCTCGAGGTCCCTGGATAAATCAAGCTCGAGGCCCCCTACTGTTACAACAACACTGATTTGGTTCTTTATTTCTCCTTACTTAAGCTCAATATTACTTGTATAATTACTAGTATTAGAATATATCATGTATCTTTGAAACCATAAAATATCTCTAATTGTTAAGCTCAATTTTGGAGGTAAACATGTTTTTTTCTATTCTTTTCTTGTAACTATCATAGTAACAATAGCTAGCACGTCTCAATTCAAACCAACGTAACAAGGAGCAGATCCGCCACTTACGTAATGATAGTTATAATCCAAATTTTAACCTAATTAATTAATTTGTTAATCTCTTTATGCAAATAATATGACTTTTTCTGAAAATGGCTGATCTACAATAAACGCTTAATAATATCTTTTTTAAAAAAAAAATTGGACAGTTAGTTTGCACTACTAGAAATTAAGCCTATGGCAACCCTTTCAAAACCGTACCTATAGATACTAAAACCGTCCCTGTAGGGCTAATGGGATGGTTTATGACGCGTTCCAAGATTCAGCGTTACAATAGATCAACTGGAATGATTATTTGTAACAGTTTGAAAACCGTCTCCGTATATGGCTATTGTAACGGTTATAACTGCAACCATTGACCAATCTATGGGAACGGTTTTCTGTTGTACTGGAACGGTTATAAACCGTTGTGTTATAATTATACTAACGACTTTTTAAGTCTATTGCGACAGTTTGCATGATATATTTTAACTGTTTTTTTTTATATATTGGAACAATTATCTGTATCCTACTGTAACGGATATTGCAACATTTTGCAACAGTTATTAGAGTGTTGCTATTGCTGTTTGCTAGGTCTATTGGAACGGTTATATTGTCTATCGCAATAACTCACTATTATAATATCTTACATTTATGGAAGCAAAATGAGAAATATTTTCCTATGCAATGAAATTTTGTATACTATAACTTATAGAAACCACGAAATAAAATTAAAATATCTAACTCGCTTTATCCATATACAAAAACAAAATATGAATACATTGTTTGATCAACAATTCAAATGTCAAAAATAGATGAGTTTTAATTTGCATACAAAAAGTTCTAAACTAAAATATCCTTGAACATGATGATAGAAAGTCTAACAACGATCAACAAAACTCAAGTAAGGTCTTCATCACTACTTTCATCTGCAATCGATGCACCTACAAAATTCAATCAGAAATAGTTAAACAAAGAAAATTTTAAGATAATTGAATAAAAGTGTTGAATGACCAATTTGATAACTCAAAAAATTTCTAACTCTCTAAATTTTTAAAATTTTCGGCAGAGTTTCCTTTGTAAATACGACTATCCCAAAATTTTTAACCTGCTCAAAACAACATTATGTTATATACAAGTATAATTTTCAACTCTCCCGTCTGTTACAATGATATTTAACAACATACAACAAACCAGAATCAGCAACAGAAAAACCATATCAAGCAACTCTCCAAACCATATCAAACAACTCTCCAATATGTTATCTTTAGGGCAACAATCTGCCTTAACATCTTCGAACACTATTACATCACAAAACAACATCACAACTAAATTATTCAACCTGCTCAAGTAACAGTCACTCCAATCGCAACCTCGTTAAAATAATTAAGTGCAGCACATGAAGAACCAACCTAAGACAGTAGATCTCACAAAAATTAATAAATTTTCAATGAGTTAATACCTGGAATGAGTTGGCCTTCTTGGTTGATACCAGTAGATAGACGACGGATTGGTTGCAATGATGCTTGCTGAGCAGATGAAGCTTCTCCCAATGAATTATCACCCAATGCCGCTAGAATAATATTAGCATCAATATCAATTCCTGAACACTGAAGCCGTGCAAGGACATCTGCAACAACTTCTTGACGGATAGTTGCCTTTTGGTCCTCAATTTTTCCCTCCATTCTTTGTATCTTCTCCTCCAATTTTTGTATAGAATTTGAAGTATTTGAAGAGGGTTCAAAACATTTGTTTACCGTGATAATGGTAATAACAATTAAATTTGATTATGGGACTCTAAAAATATGTGATCTATTTTTATGCCGGTTTTAAGCAGTTGATGCTATGTGTGAGACTTAGGAATGAGATAAGAATTAGGAATAAGGCGATAACCAAGCCGATGGGTTAACAATCGGGGCCTCGAGCTTATCGATTCGGGGGCCTCGAGGTCGATTCTGATGCTCGGCTGGGAGCTATCGAAGGCAGTTGGAGAGCGGCTAATAGTTATAATAAAATCAACGAAGGCTCTTTATGGCCAATGATAAGCAATAAATGATGAACAATAATGAAGATAATAAATGGAAGGAAAAATATCAAAAGAGTGTGTTAGAGAGCAGAGAGAATGTTGTTATGTATTTAGTATGGGGCAACAGATGTTTACAAAATGGCAAGGATCCCCTTTATATAGGAGGGGAATCCCAACACAGTACAAAATACATTAATTACAAAGATATGGAGATGGGACAGCTAGTTGATGTCATGACGCGGGCTTAGACTAGCCTGACAGACTCTACCGGCTCTATTGCATGCACCCCTTGGGAACTCCCCCCTTTTCCAATATAGCCATTGGTCTGCATTGCCCCGAGGTCGAGCGTCGACAGCCCTCGAAGGTGAACCTCGACCCCAGTCTCGAGCCTTGTGAAGTATACCTACGGGGCATCATAACGACGGGAAATTGGACCCTCCGATTTTACCGTGCACAGATAATCTCCGCATTTCTTAGAGTGAAAGTGATAAGAAACGGCCTTGAATTCTTGACCCTTCGATACTTCCTTGAAGGCCTTCGTATTGATTATGGCAGTTAGTTATCCCTTGACCTCATTCAATGCGCCCGCGGGGCTCCTATAAATACTCCCCTTCTCGTTCTTTACAACTCACTGCCTTGCTAAACCCCAAAAAAAGGTTCCTTCTGCCTTTACTTTTGTTCTTTCTTAGGAACGCAACTTCCCTTTCTCTCCCAAAATTTTTAGGAATGGTGAAAACTTCCGCCCCTGCTTCTCAGGAGAATGTGACCTCATCCTCTTCGCTTCTATCTCAAGGCAAAGCGGCAATGCCTCCTCGTACTGAGGAATGCGTTCCAGGATTTTTCGCGATGGCTTCCGATTTTAAGGTCAAGAGGCCTTCTTAGAAGCTGGGGCGTCGTCAGCCTGTATCTCGGTATATTAGCTCAATAATAGACGCCGGAAGAGTGAGAACCGATTGTCGCTGGGGGGACACAGTGCTTGTGGAGATCCCTACTTGGGAGGAGGATATAACGACATACAAAGCCAATTTTCTCAGTGTGTATACTTACCCGTTTACCCTAGGGCCGTTGGGCCATCCTCGCCCCCGATTCATCCCGTGATTCTCGACTTTTGCCAACGGTATCAAGTGACCCTCGGTCAAATTCATCCTTCGTTCTGGCGTGTTGTTTATATGATCAGGCACTATGTGAACATGATTGAGGAGATGCCCTTCACCCTCGATCATCTGATAAAAATGTACAGCCCCTGTCTCTTCCGCAGGGGTTTGGTCAAGCTCCGCTGCCGAGCCCCGCAGGCCCTCTTTGCTTGTACCGAGGAGCTTGGGAATGGGGGATGGATAAGCCGCTTTGTCCGAGTAAGGACTTCTGACATGATCCTGACGGAAAGGATGTCGTTCCCCGAGAGGTGGAATATGGAACGTAAGTAGACACGTTATCTAGCATTCCCTCGCTTTTCTTTGACTACGTTCTTCCGGGCACTTAATTTTTCTTGCTAATGCAGCCGCAACAATTTATCCCGGCGCGATCACAGACTTCCCGAGCTGGGTTGGCCGTCTAGACTCGATTTGCCCGTATGCTGAGCGAGTATGGCATGATTTGTCCCAAGCTCGGTGGGAAGCTAAGGATCATGGTGAGCCCTTACCCCTGTTGTAGTCACACTTTTTGACCTAAATCGCTACTGGCAGTGCTTTCGTTCCCCTTGATGAAGGGAGCATTGCTTGGCGGGGAGGATTCTTTGGTAGCCGATGAAGGGAAGAAAAGGCAGAGGGATCCGTCGATTGGACCTTCAGAATCAAAGAAGATTAAGGCGGAAGATACTAAAATCGACCTGGCAGCCCTAACTCCAGAAACAATGGGAAATCCTTGAGTTGAAGGTGAGGGGGAAAATAGCTTCTCGACAGCGCCCGAGAAAGGGATAAACCTGGCTGATCCTTGGGCCGTAGAGATGGTGGCTTCCGAGCCAGAGTATGACGTAGTCGCGGTCCAACTTCGGAGTGGAGAGACAACTGAGGGAGTATCGGGTGCCGCCCCCGAGCTGGTCGGTGACCAGAGTTCCCCTC